CATCCCTCAAGACGCACCATCACAAGAAGAATGCATGAGTTGTATGAAAAGGAGAGGACTACAAAAGCGGCGTTACTGATTATCAACACTTACCACATACAATGATGAATGGTGTCATAGGCAAGCTTTCCACTTTTACTTCTTTTGCCAGACATGTTTGTTCAACATAGTGTAAGAGGTTCTCCTCTCTTTTTCATCGAAGTAGGAGAGAAGAAGGAGCACCATATCTTTGACATCTTCTGAGCAGCCCTTTAACTGTCCTCTCCAGTTTGGGACAGACTGTCATGCCAATTTCCTGGAAGAAAAAAGGCCATTCCTCCATGAGGGATTGCAGATCTGTTCCCTAGTTTATCTCTTTACGTTGGGAGTAGTAGGTACACTTCATAAGAGTTTCTACCTCACCTGGGCTGAAGTTACTCTGTTCACTGAGCACTTTCATTTTTCTTTTTATCTCCTGTTGGCTTTCTGGTGTCTTACTCACTGGCATATATGTCATTTCCCACTTTATGCAACCATACATGTCCTGGATAGTTGCCCTTTGTTCGGCTGGGATTTCATCTGTGTTACACTCATCTGACCCGTTTGCACTTACATTATCCTTGGTGCTGAAGGCCGCTTCACATTTTCAATTCGGGCTTCTAACTGCTTGACCAGTGAGTTATATCCTAGTCTAACCACATCACCTGCTATGACATCTTGCAGTGACTGTGGATACTATATTTTTTTTGGCAACTTTGTGGAGGCTTTTTTACTGGAAGAGACACAGGCATTCATCATTTCAGTAACAACAATCCGGACCATTTCTCTACGTAGCCGTTGAATTGGTCTCAGTGTTGAAAGCAGATCAGCTTCCTGGATGAAGTGAAAATTCTCAGTTGTCTCTATCTGCAACAATTGGGGTGTCTCCACTAAAATATCTAAGATTGAGGCTGGAAGGTCTGGCAACACCTTTGAGATGGCACTGTGTATGTTGCTTTGCTCTGCATCATCCATTTCTAAATTTGAAAGAGTGAATGAAGCACAATTAACCCACAATCCAAAACAGTTAATAATGTGACACTGTGCTTGAGAGGAACCATTTGGTATTCATCCTTCATGTAAGATGGAAGTGAACTGAAACTGGACTGAAATCAATCAAGTCACTGATGTTCAGACATTGCATCTTTTCATTGTCTTTCCTTACTGAGTTAAGGTGGTACTCAGGAAGGAATTCTGCTGTGTACACTGACACCAGAAACTGGTTAACCAAACTGTGCAGAATTAATGTTCCCTGTGACAAGGAGTTGCCCTTTTTTGTATGACGTTCCCTTATACAGCATTTCTACTGTGACCCTTGTGTTGGTCTCAGTAAAGCCAAATTGTCTGACTGCATCTTAAATGGCTACTGTATAGTACTGAGGAAAATGGAGAACCATCTTTAACTTGGAAGACAGCTTGGCCCATTGATCCTGCTGAAAGATAAGCCTGTAACAACTTATGTCTTTCAGACAGAGTAAGGCAGAGGTTTTTAAAATTCTTTAAATTCCTTGCACATCTCTTGAAATAACTGTGCTTACTTTCAAAGGTCATTGTCCATAGTCTGATCCGGGGCCCAAATTTCATAATCATTTCTGGGTAATGACGTGAATAATGATACTTTGGTTTCAGGCCACTTTATAGGAATAGAGCTTTTCTTGACTTTAAATATTCTTGAATAAGAACATCAAGGTATGCAACCTTAATCTTAAGCCCAAAGTATTTCAAAGAATTAAATACAGACCTAAACTTTACTCCTTTCACATCTGTTGATGTATCTTCAGTCTGGAGGCGATTAACAGCAGAATTGTAGTTCTCAGTGGTTCTCTCTGGTCCAAACAGATTTGAATCACCCTGAAATTCAGATATGTTTATTAGGCAGTACCTACAGAAATTTTCAGAGAATCCACCGATGCAATGCAAGCCCAAATTATCTCCAGCAAAACAATACTAGGTTCCTTTGACTGTTTCATTTGATACAACAATCCCATTCTCCTCCAACTCCTTCAAGTCTGTTATTAGTTCAGAGAACACCTTAGCATGCCCAAACTCTTTGAAATCTTTCTCTCTACACAATAACACAAGTAACATGTGGTTTGTGTCAGACCGTACATGAAGTGGCAAGTTGGCAACAGATGCACAGACAGCTAAAACTTTATGTCTTTTCTTGGCAGAGCCTAAAGGGTTAATTACTTCGAAGGCATCCTGGTATAGAACTGACTTGACACATGATGGATTTTGACCAAAAAAGTCATTGTTTTTAGAATATATGACCTTCACTAATGTCACTTAGAACATCCAAAGGAGACTCGGGTGAGGGCTCTCCTGACACACAGTTCTGCCACAGATCAGATTCTAACAAACATTTCAAAGTCTCTCTCACAGGCACATAATAGGCAAACCTATCATCTCTTCCTAAAAACACTTTCTTGGGCTCCACATAGTTGAATTATTCTTTGAAAGACTGAGCTCTTGAGTAAGCTGTTCTCATTGGCCCTGTATGACATGCAGTGAACAGATCAAATCCCTTGACAGACTCACAAACCTTGGTTATGTCCTCATCTGATAATTTAGCAGTGAAGTAAGTGTACTCAAAGTATATGTTTGACCTAACTCATGTATGTTTTGCAATTTCTCAACAATGTTCTGTATAGTTGAAGCAGGCAGAAGGAACTGCCCCTGAAATCTCAAGTAGAACAAACACATTTCTTTTTTTCTTTTATAAGTTGTATTTTTATTGAACATTCATGTGGCATCAGTCGCAGCACGGACTATGTTATCATAGAAGCAACATATGCACCAAAAAGCGTTTGGAGCGC